ATTATTTGTGAAACAAATCGACTTGTACATAATTTAATAATAAATATTTTTTTATAACATCATTCTAATGTTTGCTATTACACACTTTCCCCATTATTTCACATAATCTCGTATAGTCTGTAACAAACGATAAATAAAAGTTTTACAGCAACAACTGCTTCCTGCTTAGACCTTGACAGTTGTTTGCCTGTTCATTATCAACTGCTGTACTCATTATTCTTATCTAAACGCTTATTTCGAACTGGAAAATGTGCAATATTTATGAATTATATTCTGGTTTAAAGTAATTAGAACATTATACATAGTACAGTTTTTTAATAAAGATAAACAAGGAAAACTGAAAACTCGTCGAATGCAATAAAATCATAAAAAAAAGTTCATTAGTTTTCGAGTTAATAACGAAATGCGATTTAAAAACAAATCCAATTCACTTTTTTTACAATTTCTACAGCTCATAGCATGCAACTCCGCAGCAGTACGAAGATGCCAGAAGGCTCGTTGGAAAGGTGAGACACTCAGCTTTCATACGAGTGGTCGATTATGTAATTGTCTTAAGGGGTTGTCAAGTTATTATCGAAAAACTGAAAACATCTATTTTTTGACAAATTCAATTCACATTTTTTCCAATTTCTAAAGCTCATAGCAGGCAACTCGAGCACTAAGATGCCAGTAGGCTTGTTGGAAAGGTGAGAGATTCCGCTTTCATACGAGTGGTCGATGATGTAATTGTCTTAAGGGGTTGTCGAGAAATTCACGAAAAACAAAAAAAAAAATGGAAAAATCGTCGTTTTTCTGTTACGTAACGAAAATTACATAACTTTTGTTACATAAAAAGTTGCGCAACGTTTGCGTGCATCTGATTATGCGATAAAATCATAAAAAAGTTTATTACTTTTCGAGTTATTAACGAAAATCTAGTTTTTTGGTAAATTCAATTCACTTTTTTTTCAATTTCTACTGCTCATAGTAGGCGACTCGGCGGCAGCACGAAGATGCCAGTAGGCTTGTTGGAAAGGTGAGACTCTCACCTTTCATACGAGTGATGTAATTATCTTAAGGGGTTGTCGAGAAATTCACAAAACACTGAAAAAGAAAACGTCGATTCTCTGATACGTAATAAACTTTAAGTAACTTGAAATCATGAAATCCATCAATAGTTACGTAATTTTTAAAAAAGTTTATTAGTTTTCGAGTTATTAACGAAATTTTTTTTTTTTTCTACCAAATTGAGATTTTAACAAAATCTAATTGGCAATTGGGACTCATTTCTCTACAACTTTGGAATGTAGCACATATTCATTAATTTTCACGAAAACTATACGAGATTAAATGAATCCAAAAGATGCATATGAAAGCTGAATGTTTGGGGAATCTAGCGAGTATCGATATATTACTGTCATCATTCGTAATAATCTGATTCTTCATCTTCATTCGTGCTCATCATCCTTCATCCTCTTCCATCATCTCTATTTTACTTCTTTGTCGTTGTCCTTCAAGCAAATATGGCTAGCGTATCGTTAATTGGTTCCTTGAAAACCGCAGAACAATTTATATCCCCTTGCGTTATAAAACGATCCATTATGCATACAATGTTATTTTGTGCAATTTTCTAACGAGCTTGTAAAAGGAATTCATTCCACTTAGTCCGTTGCCATTGCTACCTTTTTCTCGCCTTTCCAATGCGATTCAATTATGCTCGCTGGAAAAAGCGAGGTTTCGAAATAAAGAAAACCAGCATTGCCATATTAGAATACCCCCTTTTTTTTCTATCTAATTGAATACGTTAAATGCATAGAGGAAGAGAAAAAAATAATGAAACATCGCGTAACTGGAAGATATAGATAGCCTTTCATTTACAGTAGTGCATTTAAAAAAATATAATGTTTGGTACATGTATATCTAGTATATGTGTAATGTATAGAAAAACCGCACTAATCGAGGATTTCAGCAACAAAACAGCACAAAAAGAGACTGGACTGGACGATAATTTCTTTATAAGAAATAATTTTGACATACAACAATACCTAATTTCTTATGTTTAAACTTATATTGAATATTTTCATAACAAAATATTACATACATATTTAATAACAAAAACCATTCAGCCGTAACACATCAGTCGAATTCGATTTGTTTCAGTAAATTTATTGAATTCCTATTGGAACCGATGGATTCCCGCAGTTGCGACAATGCTTACGTAATCTCGAGCAATGATGACTGATGACCGTGGTCGTAGAGTTCGGAACGATATTCTTTGGTCCGTTGCGCAAACGGAAACCGTTATGATGGGATGTTTAATAAGAAGAACAATATTAGCTCCGGGGTGCAAAGAAGTGAGCGAAGGTGTGCATAAAATGCAGAACGCCCACGACAACTCCAACTGCTGCTCGCAACTCCTTGGCGCATTCACCTGATGAACGGACTCGCATTCCAATGGGCCTAGGTTAGGCCTAAATATGTGTATACATGTAGTATACACACACTTATAACACGACTGAGAACACGACTTCCTTCCGTTATATTCCATTGAATTTGAAAGGACAGTCGCGAAATAAATTCGATGCTTATGGTAAAAGCTTTTATCGCCGTACTGAACTGCCATAAAACCGCGGGAAATATGATTTTTGTAGTGTGTTCCGTGCTTGTTAATGGCACAGACAACAAAAGCTTTCCTATACGACTACTACTAAAAGCTGCTCGCTACACAAAGTTCCGCAGCATGGGATGATAAATCTGGTAGCAAATAAATAAAATATTTAGATACGATGAAATCAACAACAAAAAAAACAAATAATAATAAATAAGTTGCGTTCGTCCATCCAATAAACTTCCGCCTTTATTTTGCGAAACTTTAGTCGTCTTATTTGGTAAATTTTCTCTATGCATTGTACATTATATATTGTATACAGCTATTACGTGGAATCTCAGCCCAACTCATTAAATCACTTTGGTTATGGTAAAGCACGATGTTCAATAGGAGAGTTGTTTTCTCTTGTAAAAACATACGAAAAAAAAAAATGAAAAACCACTTATTTTTTTCTTTCCTATAATGACTTTACAATTGGTTTTACATTTTATATGAGATTCTTGAATTAGGAAATAATTTAATCACATACAAATATGCAGAATTCAGTTTGTCATGTTCATCTGCTTTCTGAGTTTTAACCGAATGGTAATTAACATTTACTATTGTTTTAATGAAATTCCTTTGATTTTGATTATAAAATATTGCATGTCGTAACGGTAAAACGTAAATCAGGCAGAAGCGAAAGCTGCTAACGTTTCTTGCAGTTAACGCGTATTTGCAATTATTTTCTTATGTTAAAACCAACAAATTATTTTTCCAGAAAATCTAATAAATTACAGCGTTTAATGAACGATTTATTTTTAATTAAAACTATATAAGAACCTGTTAAATGATTATTACATTATCGACTTCCACTCAATTTTTACACCTATCCTTTTTTATATGATTTCAGTTTTTATTATTTTGTAATTTAACGAAAACTAGACAAAACTTAATAAAAACTTACAAAATTAATTTAATAATTTTCATATTTGATGATAGAATTAAAGCTTTCATTTCATCTTATATAAACATTGAGTAAGTTTATGCAAGTTGATCTTTAATCGTGTTATAACCAAATTATGTACTTTCATAAAATTAAGTTTTTTTGTAAAGCATCCGATTAAAAACTTTAATAAGACACCTTGTCTCTGCCATCTCCATCCGCAATGTTTCTACTTATCCTCTCATCTCATTGTGCTTAACCGAAAATCTCATCACCTCTTAAGTATAATAGGATCTGGGGTGGTCGGACGTTATCCCATTTTAAAAGTTTCCCGCGTCGTCCTTCATATTTTTTTTCTTCTTCCCCCGGATTACGCAATCTTCCGCTTGGCCCATCCCTCCTTAACACGCACACACAAGAACACTTTTGCAAGTTTCTTCCGCACATCCATATTGCATCCGAACGTTTCTTTTCACCCCAGGCCTCGAAAGTAATCCCAGTTTTCTAATAATCCCGAATGGAGTTTTAAACTGAGCCAGCCATTATATCCCTTATCTCGCCAGCTTCTTTCTTTCGGCGATTCATGCACGCCAAACGCGGATGCTCAACCCCAAGGGCCAACTCAGCCCAGAAGATTACCTACGGTTTTTCTTCCTTTCTTTTCTCCGATCCTACTAAAGCTTTAAAACGCATCTCTCATATTTCAAATAGCCACTGATTCATATAAAATATACAGCTCACTTCGGTAATACCATACATTTCATCAATATATTTTATTTTATTTTATTTGATATACACTGTGGTTTATTTAACTTTGCTTGATTTTTATTTTACTTTTACAATTTTTAATTATAATCATGCAAACGCACATAAGTTTTAATTCTACATAACGCAATAAAAGTTAAAACAAATACATGAAAACCCTATTAATCCAACTGTATCTGCGGATTATAGCTTCCGCTATTGACTAAATACACTTATCCTGACAAATGGGTTAACCATGGAAAGTGTAATAAATAATTTTAACTAGGATACATGAAGTGGATTAAAGTGATATAGACCTAGCGGAACAGCTCATATTAATCAAACTAAAACTGCACATGACATAGTATACTAACTTTCAAATTATTACTTACTATTAAAAATCTATAAAAAAAAATAGTTTCATAAAATAATGATAAATTCAATGGTAAAATAGTCAAAATCAGAGTTTCTCACCTTTTTGAAAAGCGAGGAACTGGTGAAATACTCTTTGCAATTGGATTGCATTGAAAATACAAAAAGTATATTGGTTTGCGCGACAAAAAGTTCAGAAAGGATAAAAAAAAACAGTTTAATAAAATAATGATAAATTTAATGGTAAAATAGTCTAAAGCAGCGTTTTTCAACCTTTTTA